TTTGTACTCCATATCCCTACCACTGAGATTAAGCAGCTGTACCACATAAACGATAGAATCTCCACCCATGGGTTTAACCCCCTGCCACTCCAGTAGGCAGCTGTGTGATGTCAGGTTACGGACCTTTGGTGCTGAAACATAGAGAAAAACATCAAATGGTTAATTAGATAGTCAACAAATCATCCTCACAACACATTGAACCATTAAATTCAATAAGTTAGTTAACAAATCATCCTCACTTTACATTGAACCATTCAATTCAAAAAGTTAGTTAACAAATCATCCTCACTACACATCGAACAATTCAATTCAATAATTTAGTCAACAAATCATCCTCACAACACATCGAACCATTAAATTCAATAAGTTAGTTAACAAATTATCCTCAATGGAAGATGGCGTCTGGTCCTTTCCTTCAAAGTCAGACTGTATCTGCCTAAGAGCTGAGAAACCAAGTCTGCACAAAAATATGCCAGATTTGTAAAACACATGTGCATACAAAATTCAAGTGATGAAACAAGACAAAAGTCCAGAAGTGGACGAACCTGAGATAAAAATGGATAGTAATGAATGATGTAGAAGCAACGAAGATGTGGTTTTACAGACGAATGATGAGAACATTCTAAACAGGTAAAAAGAATAAAGATGCCTTGAAACTGACTCACAAAGAAAACTGACAATCCACTAAAATCTTTGGTGGTCATAAGAAGGAGAAAACTGGAGTACATCATAACAGGGGAAAAGAGGCAGAGGGAGACCAAGAGTGAGAAGATGTGCTGGACTGTTTGACATCTCGGCATGAAGATAATCTGTGTCAGAAATGACAACGCACACAAAACAAAGGGTTGCAGACAGACATGACTGCCAATGCCACACCTCATGGACTACGGGCAGAAGAAAATGTGATACAAGGAATATACTGAAAACAACAGTCGCGGACACAACGTTGGTGACAAAGCCCCTCAAGTGCCGACTGGTCTATGAAATAACTGGGGCTAGAAACAGACACCTGAAATGCTTGAAGTACTAGATATACATAGCCCACAGAATGACATCCTTATATCTTCTTCTGTGTTTGACCTTAAAAGAGTGGTAGGAACATTGTGTTGTGGTTTATAGCTAGGCTGCTATATCTGCACCTCACCAACCACCACATCCAATATCAGCAAATCCTAATTCATTATCATCAAACAACAGGTCTTTCAGAGAACATCACCCTCATCACAGCACACCTGAAAGTCTCTCTTTCTCCAGCCCTATGTGCTTTCACAGCCAATGCATCTTCAATGTCTTGTATCCATCTTCATGGAGGTCTGCCTCTGCATCATTCCTTAATTAATCCCTGATTAGTTGTCTTTTATATGCTTGTTTAGAGGCACAGAGAATCCGCATCAGATCACATATACAGGGTTTCTCATAAATTTTCATACACAGGAAAATACATTTCAATGCATGAAAATACATTTCATTGCATGAAAATACATTTCAATGGATGAAAATACATTTCAATGCATGAAAATACATTTCAATCCATGAAAATACATTTCAATGCATGAAAATACATTTCAATACATCAAAATACATTTCAATGCATGTCCTCCTCTGCTGAAGAACATCGACTGGCACAGCTAGAGCTTTGCTTGTAAAGGTGTTGTTGATATACCACAAAGAGCCACACTGAAGAAATAAAATGAACACAGAGCAAGGGGAAGACCACTCAAGAGATGGAGCAACATGATCTGGAGCAACCTAACAGAAATGAACACCAACCTGTAAAATGTATTAGAAAAAGCGCACGAACGATCCTTACATCCCCCCCCCCCCCAACATCTCACTGAGGTAAATGATGGAAGAGAAGAAAAAATTTTTGTCCTCTCTCTCTCTCTGTCTGTCTCTCTCTCGTGTGTGCGTACATATGGAATAACCAGTAGTTATGGTGATGCTAAACTGTATTATAAAATGAACTTATAATAAAACAGCAAGACCTCACTCAGGGATTCTCACCTTTCAGTGGTGGTGGTGGGGCCTTTGTTGTTGTGTACGTGTATGTGTCTGAGTAGGGCCCATTCCCTGCCTCATTGCTGGCAAAGATCCTGAACTCATAACTGGTCATTTCTGTCAGTCGGGTCACCTTGTGCATGTGTGCTGGGCCCGTGTAGATGGGCTGGAAACTGGAAACAAATAGCAAGACAATGTTCTCAATTTCACATCAGACACAAAATATACAAGAAGATGTACTCAAGTTATCAAAGATGATGAAAACATTCTGGAAATTTTCACCACACACAACCATCATCATCATCATGTGCCGGGCCTGTAAGCGTAGGCTGCCATGTTCCACCATCTCAGAAGATCACCAGAATCAGGGATCGGGTTAATGTTTTTGTCTGACCTCATCCAGGCATGTGGAATGCCTTTCATTTGCGCAGCCGTTGTATCATGGTAGTAGATATGGCCAGTAGATGGTTTGTGTGTGAGCTGGTAAAATACCTTATGTAAT